TAATTGTGTTCAATGCAGTAATCCTAAATGCTTAGTTCTACTTTCTTTTAACAACAGATAGAGTTGAGTGGAACATGGCGTATGTGGCAAGACCAACATCTTGTGCTCTCCTCTTGCTATATTTCATTAGCATATTTACCAGCGGCACCAGGGCAGATATAATTGAGGACTGTGATAACGGTACTTCTTGTATTGGAACCTTCGCTGACATCTACAATGCCTTAGCATCAGATGAGAACAATTTTAACATCGTATCAGCTTTATATCCAGCCAAGAAGCCTTCATCAATTCTTGTCTTCATAAATATGTATGGAAAGGATGGATCCAGAAAAGCAGACAACTCCATACCAGATGTGAAGAACTACACTTGGAGTTTGAGTTGTCTTTATGCTGCTTTTCCGGCTGCTTTCCTTGAGATCTTGTCTCTAGGCACAATATTGGTGACTCCCCGCATGCAAAGCCTGAGTATCACAATTCCATATTTCTGTTGTAATGTTACCGCCGAAAAAAGGAACAGAATGGTTGTTGATGTACTGGCGATGGTAAGTAGATGGTTAACAAGATGTATGAATGAATCTCCTCGATAGAAATATAGCCTTATATTAAACAATCCTTTATCTCTTCCTCTAACGTAAGGAATCAACGGTCTAAATTACAAACGGACTCTTGCTGATGCTTATTGGAAAGTTGAGCCGAAACATTGGACCATTTATTGATACGAGGTGCAGAAAGCCATTACCCTCCAGAGCATTAACATTTCACCTGACTTTATTGAGATTTAATGACCAATATGCGTTGAAAATCTTATCATTCTTGCTTTGCTTATGACCCAAATACATTTCTTTATATCTTTTTTGTGTTTCCTATATGTCATCATTGGTGGCGCGCTTGTGATAAACTGTTGCTGTTCAATTTTTCTACAGCTTCAAGATCTTGCTGTCACTCCAAACTTACAAGATCCACAATTAAATTCCGCAGAATGTGTCACAAATGACCATAAGCCAAACATAGAGGCTACAGAACACGGTCCTTACTTATTGGCACTTTTATACTGTTCATTTTTGTGTGTCGTGCTGCTCAGCCCGCTATCAATCCTTTACGCTTTAGGGTACTTAAAAAAACACTCTGGTAGTGAGGAGTGTGTATTATGTATTAATTCAAAATGTTCCACATGTTACAAATGCGAATTTTGTAACAAAAGAGAAGAGCCACTGAAACGTTCTGCAGCTCTTGTATGTGGTATAGTGTTGGTGATAGAGGTAGTTGTTTGGGTTGCGGTATGTAGCGTATATTCAACCAAGGGTAATCTTCCCTCAGAATTCTACGAAAATTCAACCAAGGTTAATCTTCCATCAGGATTCTACGCTATTATTGCGTTGATAGGGCTGCAAAGTGTTATAGAATTCATTCTACTGCAGTGCTGTAAATCTTTTAAAGATTGGAAGACTGGTTCAATTTGCGGCAGAGCATTGCTCATTGTGAGCACAAAGTTAGTATTATGTCATCTGTGCTGGGTTGCCATTGGGATCATGCTTAATCCAACATGGGGTTTGTCTGCTTTACTCATCATTTCCTTCTTTCTTGTTTTGTTGTTTTATTTTATGTACCAAATATGCAGTGTCAACCAGTGCATGAGTTATCTCTTCTTTAGGCGTTTTGGCTTATGTGCAGCTGGCTTTTTTGGTGTTTCTTTAGCTATTGTTCCCCCAGCTTTAGCTGGGAGGTCATTTTATGGCCGAGAAACTGCAGATGATATTCTGAAAACTGCGTTATTGTATGCTATTTGTACTGTGTCATGGCTGTACTTCAAATCCATCAAATCCTCTCCAAACATTTCCAAGTGTGCCAAGGCTGCAAAAGAGGCAGCAGCTAAAGCTAAAGCTCTAGCTGAAAAGATATCTGTGCCCCAGTGTGATGGAATAGCTTCAGCTACTACAGCTGCTGTCAAGGCTCAAACTTTAGCAGCTGGCGCATTAGCTGAAGCTGCTCTAGCTGCTGCAGCAACAGCTGGTGTATTAGCTGAAGCTGCTGTAGCAGCTGGTGCATTAGCTGATGCTGCTGCTGCGGCTGAAGCTGTGACTAATGCTGTAGCTAAGGTAGGCGATTCAGATACTGAGGCTATGATTGCGATGGAAACTTCTGCCAATGAAAATTAAGGAAGCGAGAGTCGTTTCCAGTTTTCGTTTGTTGAGCACACCGCAGGTGTTAATTCATAAAAGAAATTCGAGTCGCCATTTTTCACTCAGAGTTTGTTTGCTCTCACTCCGCCCAGTTTCTTTTTGGCAATCTTCCAATCAATTAGTAAGAGTTTCCCTTTCCCTCCATATTTCCTCTGCTTAAAAAATTCCATGATGGCGGATAAACATTTATCGAAGAGGTGTTTAGCCCTCAATTGCTTGATCAATACCTCTTCACTTTTTGTAGGATAGAAAATTACATCGTGCTAGCTTTAAACTCAGCAGTGGCTTGCTTTTACGAGCGTGCATTTGTATGTGCTAGAATGTCTTTAATGTCATAGATAGGATGCTGTATTTGATACTTGGTATAAAGATGGGTTAGAAATAAAAACAGGTCTGCAAAAAGTGTTTTAATTAACTTAGTCAATAAGCGTTCACTCGAACTTTCACTCGCCACCTGTAAACACCCTTTTTTGTCCCGAGAGACGTTCCGCATATTTCTTTAACTTTAAGCTATTCACAACGGCTGCCGTTCCACAGCGATAGCGGCCACTAATGCGCGTTTCCAAAATAGGCAAATAGCTCCTCGTCAACGCATAGTTGATCACCGATGGACAACGAGAGTACCAAAATTCATGACACCTCACTCGAGCGGTCGACCCTCGTTCACTTTATTTTGGTTTACTCTGGGAGAGATTCTAGTCTGCAATAATAAAAGTAAACGTTTCAAAAATTGATTGATGTATTCGCCCAATTGTCCTTGCGCAAACTTGTTATATGGCACAAGTCAAAAATACTCATACGATGCTCTTCACCAAACGTCAAATAATATTTAGTATCAAATTTTCAATTCCTTATATTGCATTTCTAGTGTTCTGATTGGCTCACTCAACCCCTATTATCAGCTCATATCTCGCCAACTGTTGCGAAGCTAAAAATAGTTTCAAATATCCAGGTGTTCAGGATTAAATACGAATTAGCTGATAATAACCACAGGTCTGTGGTTAGACCCTAAATAGGGGGGGGAGTATGAAAGCAATGATTTTATGATAACTGGTGGATAACAGTGCTCTTTAAGGTATGGCTTAAGAATGGGAACGAGGCTGAAGTTTGGTTTGTGTTTATTAGCTTCAATTGTCCACCAAAGTGAACAGACCACCTTCACAACAGTACCATTGTTTCACACATATTTTTTAATTATAAATGGTTCATTTCACCAGTCAAGTGACCAGAACATGACTCAGGCATGGAAATGAGGGTGGAGTTGGTTTGACATATAAATATGTGTGCGTGCGTGTGTGCGTGTGTGCGTGTGTGTATGTGTGTGTGTTCATTAGCTTTGAATGTCCATCAAAATCTGCAAAACACTTAACAGTATCATTGCTTCAAAAGTATAATTTTTAGATTTTTGTGTTCTTTTCCCATCGTTTACCTCATTGGACACGTGAGGATAGCCTTTAAAATGGATGATTAAATGACAGACAAGTGTAAGACTGTATTACGAGTCACTTCAATCCATTTTAATTCAACCTGCTCTTTTTAATGTTTCTGACGTGCTTCCTGTTTTCCTTAACGAGGGTGTAGCAAAGAATATCATCAGAGTAAATGAGTCATGTGACTTAACTTCTATTTTTACCAGTTGGCATACATAGAAAGCATGCATAGAATGCATTTGTGAGACTCAACAGAAACTTCTGAAGTGTTCGCTCTAATATTCTTCGTCACTGTCTACATCATAGGCACTTTCGACTTCTTGAACAGAACCTTTGTTCTCATATCCAGCAAGCCTGCACATATCAGTGCATCTTAGGCCATTTGTGACGCAGACACATTAAGAGGCGACGCACTTTTTAGGGCAGTTACACGCTAATAGCTCAAGTATGCCTCTGGTGCTGTTTTTACGTCCATTCAGTCAACAATTATCTCGGCAACATTGTCGTCATGTTCGATCTTCCTTCCCTGTACGCGTCCATCAGGAGTCGGAGCTTGTGGATCTTGCTCTAAACACCGTTTCCATATGGCAACCTGATAATTCGCTTTCTATCTCCCCTCTTCTTGAGCAAAACAGCTGGTACCTTAACTCATTAACTTTCGTGGTGACCGTGTTCTTAGAGTAGAAAAGACATGTAAGTTCCTCTAATTTATCTGTCAATTCAGCAAGTTTGGTCCCACTCTCTTTCCGGCTCTTTTAACGCTTCTCAGCTTGCGTTCTTTAATATCTTCCATGCTTGAGCCATTCCCTTTCCTGCAAATGTGCTCACAGTATCACTCTCAATTAATGCATGCATCCTGAGAACACCTTTGCACACTTTTGGACCGAGTGAGGCAGCAATTTTTGCAGTGTTAATAACCTTTGTCACGAGTTTCAGATTTCAGGAACAAAGAAGCTCCTTTCTCATTGCTTGAGGACATGATAATCTATGTGTCTCCAATTAATGTTTTGACAGCCCAAGGAAGGAGCACATGCCTGAGAGGCTTATGCTAACCGCATGTGAGAGCATATATTAGGTCTTGACTAAATGACTGAATGAGATTTGACACTCTCTCTAACGGATTTTCATTATGAGGATTTCCAGTAAGAGGTCCAACTAAAAACGATGTTGCTGGGTTGGCATTTTTACAGCATTTGAAAGATCAGATGGGTTGCAAGACCAGGTGGTAGGTTTTATACCTCTTCTTATAACTTTCCAGACCTTTCCGGAGCATTAGACTGGTTTGTCTTATATTTGTCTGATAGTCCGTATTTTGTGAAAGTTAACGACACTTCATCGAATTCACCATGTCTCACTCAGGGAGTCTCTCAAGGTTCACTTTTGGGACCGATATTGTATTCTTTATACACTTCTCTATTGGGTGACATTGCCAAGCAACATCAAATTAATTACCATTTTTGAGGATGACTTGCAACTGTACATATCATTTAAAACATGCTGTGCAGCTTATGCGGATCGGGGCAAGACCTCTATGGAGCCCTGTGTTTGTGATATCGATCTTTGGATGATACATAATCGACTCGAGCTAAATCAGGATAAAACGGAGGTACTGGTCTTTTCCTCTTGTTATCGTCCAAGACCAAACATCGGTAATCTGACCATTGTGAATGAGATGGTTACCTGTTCCTCCACTACAAAGGACATTGGTGTAACTCTCGATAATTCTCTGTCAATGGTTTCCCACATACCATTTTTCACCTGTGTAACATTTCCAAGATTAGGGGGTTTCTCAACACCGAAACATGCTTTTGTTATTTCAAAGGTTGATTACTGCAACTCCTTGCTGTATGGCGTTCCCAAATATCTACTGCAAAGGCTCCAACGAATACTAAACTGCGCTGCAAGAATAGTGTTTAAATCTAATAAAAGTAATCACATAGTGTGACTCCTCAAGGAACTCCATTGGCTACTCATCTAACAACGGATAGAATAAAGATTCTCCTAATCACATTTAAAGCACTCAATAAGCAAGCTCCAGCTTATTTAACAGACCCTCTTATATCCTATACACCTTCAAGATCACTTCGCTCATCTTCCAAAAACCTTTTGAAGATATCCGTGTACAATCATAAGTCTTATGGTGGTGGGTCGTTTGCCTTTGTTTCAGCAGTGTTGTGGAACTCCCTCACACAGTCATTATTGGTTTGTAATCGGATCTTTAAGCGTCACCACGCGCATATAAAAGCTAAGTTAGCGTCACTATAAGCCAGAGTTTCGTAAGATTTCACCTTGAACAGCAGCAACTTCGTTCTTTCGTTCCAAACCTTTGGCACAAGCGGGACCGATATGTAAGTGATTTTGTTAGTTTTATTTCAATATGTTTAAGTTTAGTTTTTCACCTTGGGCGATAGCGCACATATGTACTGTGTTGTACAACAGTACAACTAATTATCTTGAAATCAAGGAGTATTTTGAAATAACTAGACGCTCACACAGTAACGCCCACATTTTAGTCTTTGGGCTGTTAATCAGCCGCAAATGATCATCGTGTAGCCGATCTTTGAATCTCGAGTAGTTTTAATTTAGCCTTTTATGATTTGTTTATGTTATATTCACGTTAATTGTTGTTATTTTAATCGCGTTATCGACATAGGCACGTAAAGCGTTTCTTTCATGCCTTTCGCACCAATTCAAGTAGATTCATGCTTTCGTTATAATATTATTGCAATTTCAGTTAGGATCGTGATCGTGATCGTGACCGTGATCTAAATAAACACCGTTGATAGTCATCTTGGTTTTCGTGGTTTCATTACGACCGGTAAAATAGTTCCCACATCAGCGACAATTAGAAAACACGCATAGCGACACCCCTCGAAGTTTCCTCTTTCGTCGCAAGCGTCACACAAATGTTTTGCATATCATTATTATTATTATTATTATTATTATTATTATTATTATTATTATTATTATTATTATCATTATCTGTGATGAAACTTGGTCTGTTATCTTGTTGGCATCAGTTAGCTTCACCTTCCAGATTGCTGTTTTTTATGAAGATTATCGTTATCATGGACAATATCCTTAAACGATATGCTATCGGGAACTAACAGCAACTTTCCCGAATCATCTGGGAAAATAAGGATTGGACCAAGGGTCAGTTGAAATTTCGTGCCCGTGGAGAGGAACTTGCGCTCGAAAGAGTGGTCGAGGTTGTTGTCCATGCAAAGCAGGAAATAAGAATTGTAACGCAAACTGTTAGTGTCGCTGACGTTCCTGCAATGAAGTGACTAAACTTAAAATAATTAAACGTCCGGCAGTCCGATAATTTTCCAGATTTCTCTTCGAAATCCAAAAAATATTTATACGAAAATGTTCTACCTTTATTTACAATTCTCAAGCGCTTCCAGGTAGCCTAAAATTTCGAACTTGGTGTTTCTCGCTAACCCTGTATACAGAGTACGAAGCCATCCAAGTGACACTTAAAAACTTTTCAATGACACGGCTGGACACGGTCCTCAAATGACTCCATATTTCTCTTTTAAATATGCCAATTTTTCGTTGGAAAAGATTCCACCTTCATTTAAAATCCTCAAGCGCTTCTAGAAAGTCAAAAAATGCCAACGTTATCCGTTTCGCTGACCTTGTACACAGAGTGCGAAGAGATCCAAGCGTGACAATAAGAAAATTTTCACCGGACACTACCGGACACGGTCTTCGAATAACTAAACGTCCGGCAGTCCGATATTTTTCCATATTTCTCTTGAAAAATACCAATTTCTATTGGAAATATTTTATCCTCATTTAGAATCCTCACGCGCTTCAAGAAAGTGAAGAAATTTGAACGTTGTCCTATTCGCCGACTCTGTTCACAGAGTACAAAGAGATCCAAG